AAATAGAAGTAAGAGAATATTTTGCCTCCCTTCACCTTCATTGAAAAAGTCAGAAGAGTGAGAAGTGTTGTAAAAGAAAGAGTAACACAAGCATAAACATTAATATTGTTTGATCCAACTGACTGCTTTTCCAGAAAATATCCATACCCCCACCACGGAGGGAATTGGAAATTCCAGAGGGGTGGGGGGGTCAAAGTCCCAGGAAATTCCAGAGGGGATGGGGGGTAAGAGGCGAAATTTTCGTCCAGAGGGTAGGAAGTCGATCGACTTTCTTCGTATGTCAATTGGCGCCTTTTACCTACTTTAGTGGGACGTTCTGAAGTTTAAGTTGTTAAATTACGATGCTTCTAACAGTTCTGCAGCAAAAGAAAGTTTTCTTTTATCCTTGTAGCGCTTTGGAACATAAATAACATCAAATAAAGAAGAGAATCACTTTGTTTTTCGAACGGAGCCGCCATTACTCGTTACCAGTCTCCAAAGATTACAACCAACAGGAGTGGTTACCTAGGGATTTTCCTCGGTCATAACACGTTTCGCGTTCGTAAAATTTACAAATAACTGTCTCGGTCTCGCAAAAAAAAAAAAAAACGCTGGTCTCGCCGTCTCGCAAAGTTTCGCATAAATTTACCATTCACTACCCCTTATTGACTCCAGCCATCTATTAATTTTGATCTGCACTGAGCTTAATTCCGTTGCATCATAATGTGTAGGAGACTTGACGATTTCTTTATGGCTTACTTGCTTGCGATGTTACAATGAATGATAAGTACAGTCGTACCGTAGTAGAAAACAGTTGATAGTAACATTGAGAAACATTAGGATCCAGGGCTTTGTATATATGCGCGTGGGACTGGTAACTAGCCAAGGTTTGTTTATGCACAATCGGACGAAATTATCGACCCGCTGTTAACAAGAATCAATGCTTGTGTGAAGAAATTTTACATTAGAGGCTGGAATTTGGAAAGATGAGTTCAAAATAACTTACTGCTGACTCGGTTTTCTCTTTTGCTCTCTTATTTATGACACAATTTTGTACAAATTTACGTTGCTCAATGTGATTTCGAACGTTTCCATTTCAAGTGCACGCAATTTTCTCAGTACATTGTACAAACTTAACAGTTCAAAAGTGTTTTGTTGCGACTTGTACAGTTTTTTTCTCCTTTCGTGTACTGAGAATACTGTGTTAAATGTTTAAGGATAAGTATTGTATTTAAAAATAAAGCAAACATTAAGTTTAAGCTAGTTAGCGACGTTTACCTTGCGCGTGTACGCCATCTCTCGAATATACACGCGACAAAATCACACGTCCCTCTTGTTTGTTGTTTGCTACGAGAAAAAAATATATTTCCAGGGGGTATAGGGGGTGGTAGAAAATTCTTTGGAAATTCCAGAGGGGTGGGGGGGCTACCACTGCTACCCCAAAATGGAAAATCCGAAGGGGTGGGGGGGTCCTATATGAAATTCCCTCCGTGGTGGGGGTATGGATATTTTCTGGAAATAAAAGGTATGCTAGACAAAACTTACCAAGAGATATATATACATGTACATGTTTATAACTTAAAGATCATGAAATTTATTACTCAAACTGAGTTTTAGTAAATCTTTACTTTAATATGGATTTTCTCATGAACCAGCTGTCAGTTATGTTACATGGAAATTGCCAACTTCCACAATAATTAACAATAATTACATTGTTATCTTACTTCCCTAACCTACATTACTGGTTGCCTTTGTTAGAAAACCTTGGAACAGTCACGCTCAGTTGCCTCAAACGCTGTCAGAGACTTTTTGTTGACAATACTTTTAGTAGAAATTTCATGCCTTAGACAAACAAATTCAACACCTAATTAATCTTTCTTTTTCCATGATAGTTGTTGCTGCTTTTTTTTTCAGTTTTTTGCTCTATTTTCATGACTAATTACTGTAATTTGTTTTGCTGTTTTTATTCTTACAAAACATTTTTGTAAGAGTTCCAATACTTGTGGATCATCCACACACTTTGCAAACATTTGGCATGCAGACAAGACAGAGGTAGTCAATGTTCCCTTTGAGGAAAAACACCTTTTATATGACGTCTTCAATTTACTTTATTTGAAACTCTGATCTGAAAATATTTGTCAGCAAGACTTGTTAGTAGCGAGAAGTACCAACCAAGTTTCCTTTCATAACTTAATCTCTTAAATGTCCAAATCACTGGATCTCCCAAAAAACATTACATCTTTTTATTTTTGGTGCAAATTGAAAATCCTTCTTTATATAAAAATGAAAAGTGCTAGTCACATTTCAATAATAACAGCTCTTAAGTTTACTTGTTGTTCTTCTCTGTCTGTCAGCTATCAACAAAATTGTTTTATACTTCGGGCAGTGCATAACTATTTGTGGACCAGAGTTCCAACGCACCTCTGTAATCGCATATAGCTACTTCTGTCTCTTGTACAAATGTTTCTCCTTTGTAAGACGCACTCTACTCTGTTGTCAATACTGCTTTAAGTTCAGTGGAAACGACTGACTGAGGAATCGAGATGGCGGTGTTGGAACGTGTTGCTGAACGCTTGCTACGGTCAAGCTTTGTAGATTTAGGTACTGGTACACTAGGATCATCTATGTATCTCTTATACTTCCGAATGTGGTATCCTTCTTTTATAAATATGAGGGTAAAAGACGATTTGTAGTCGCATTCAAAACTGTGATTGGCTTGTGTTATTTCTCACCTTTGCCATTAACACAACTCAAGTGAGTTTCGAGTCTTTGTTTCCTCGACAACTTTCGGCCACAAATCGTGCATTTGTACATCAACATAGAGTGAGCTCACATCTTTATTTATATCACCAAGCTATCCATCTTCTAGAAGCAGAGAACGGGTCGGAGAAGTCAGAATAAAGTTGGGCACTTCTCCTAACACTGCAATCGGCAAGCCAGCGGATTCACTTTGCTAGCCAATGACAAGTCCTAAAAGATCCAAGTGATCATGCCCGTGATCGGAAACAAAGAAGACTCCATTTGGCGCTCATCTTTGAATGTACTTTTCATCGGTTGATCGCTTTTCTCAACTGTTTTGCTTAATATAACATTTCTAAAGACAACCTCATTCAAGGCCAACTCATTGTGAGCCCAGGAAAAAAAATACAAACAGTACAAACAGTAGCTAAGTTTGCAGTTTAGGATAACTTCATTCTAATTTATTGTTACAGTTACAATAAGATTTTAATCAAAAAATCAATTTTATTTGTCTGTAATTAGCCCCTTCACTCCCAAGAGTGCTTGGTTTTCAAATATAACTTAAGATATTGTATTTTATGGAAAATAATCAACAGATTTTATTCACAATTTGTGTCAAACCAAATTTAATGATTGATTAGAACTATTTTATATGAATAGCTGTAATTGAGGATTAATCCGTATGGAGTTTTCAAGAAAAGAAAAATAAATCAAATTCCATCCTAATATTACCACACATTGATGTTAATAATTAATCAAAAATATTTGTATAGGTAATCACATGAGGCCAAGTACTATTAAGGATTAATTGCACGAGAGTTTTCAAAATAGGGAAATCCTAGGAATTCTTAGGAATTCCAAAAGCCATTTTGCAAGGGTAATTAGAATATTCCTAAATGTAACATGCAATGTAAACTTTACAGACCTCGTACAGACTCTCCTTTTTTATTCCCCTCTGTTTCTTCACATTTTAGGGAGCTGTGTAGAGCTTTACCTACAGACAGTAAGGAGAAAAAATAATTTCTATCTGCAGTTCAGCCAAAGCTCCTCAGGAAAGTGTCATAAGTAATCAAAGAATACCCTCCTAGGAGGAGAGTTAATATTAAAACTACTGTACTGTACTGTACTGTACTGTACTGTACCACTAAATGTTTCAGTTACTAATAAAAATAATATTACTGACCCCTTTCACTTTCTTCCAGCATTTCTTGCATTTTGATTTTGTCTGTCCTTCTGAATTTGCAGGCAATTGATGGCAAAAAACCACTTAACAAGTTCTTCTTTGTCTCTTCAGTTTTTAATACATTCTGCTTAGCTGTTTATTTAATTTGAAGAAAATGAAACATTTATTAACTCAAGTTTCTGCTCAAAGTTATAGTGAACATATCAATTGTTAATCAGCCAATATCTGCAGACTTCAAGACAAACCTTCAACAACATTTAAGCATTGAATGTTAGAGTTACAGCACTATTTTACAACTCTACTCTCTAACTGTCAGAGATCTGTTGTACAGTTCAAACAATATCATGCAGGCTTATTTTTCAGAAAAGAGCAAAATTAGGGCATAACCTGCAATGTTACATGTTCATTCACCCACCTGGTGCAGACTCACTTTGTTCCCTTCCTTCTCTTTTCCCAACTTCTGAGCCACTGTGTGGAAGATTATCTACAGAAAGGGAAGAGAAATATTTATTGGATCAGCTGATATCATAGCAAGCAAACAATTTTATTTATTATCTGCCAATCAATCTGCCAATCATTTAAAAGCTTCCACATCTCTCCCTTTCCCCCTGGGCAACCCAAGTGCAAATGTCCAGGGGGTTGCCTGAGAGTTGCCTGTGGGAGGGATGTTGAAGCTTTGAATTGATGGCACATAGCAGTTTGCAAAATTTTAGATGACACAATTCTACTTTCATCACAAAATTGTTAAATTGATGTGTATGCTGTAAAATATTCAATTAAACAAAATTTACCAGTTGCCACCAAAACCGCCTTCCTTTGTGTTTCTTCTTTATCATTTGAACTACATGGAGCCTTTTCTGGAAATAATGAAAATGATTACAGCTACTGAAAATTAATTTTAAATTTCAGGATACCATATTTCTTTCCATAAGAACCCACGAGGGTGGGGGGGGGGAATAACTGGAAGGATGGTACTTAATGGGATGAAATTCAAATGTTGCACTGAACGCAACCCAATATTTACCCAAACTGATGCCATTACATGATGATTACATGAAGAAGTTTCTAGTTTATTACAAATGAATTATTTTGATCTGCAAAACTACTGGGCGTGAATGTAGTAAATTGTAGTTTAAAAGGCCATTTTAAGATTCAATCAGGTTTTAAAAACTTTGCTCATAAAAAGTTAGAAGAGTGAAAAGTGTTGTGGAAGAAAGAGTATGAAAAGCACTAACATATTGATATTGTTTGATCCAAATGCTAAATGACCCATAAGCCAACACGAATACTGCAAGTAAATTAAGCTCTTCTTTGATTACCAATCATATAAATATCATCTTTTTGCAACAACTAACCTATATCCTTCGTCATTACTTGAAGGATTTATCCACATTCTAAATCTCTTTCTGGAGTTTACTCAAATAGTGCTTTGATTGATAAGTGTTCGGATAATAAAGTTCTACACATATTTTCATACATTTCCTTATAAGTTGGAAGTCAAGCAGAAACAGTTTCAAAAGTTCTACATACACTAAATAGCTTCATCCCAATCAGCAGTTACAAAAAGGTCTTTGCTTTACCAAATTTAGTAGTTTTGAAGGATTTATCCACATTCTAAATCTCTTTCTGGAGTTTACTCAAATAGTGCTTTTATAAGTGTTGGGATAATAAAGTTCTACATGTATTTCCATACATGTCCCTATAAGTTGAAAGCAAAGCAAGAATATTTACAGAAGTTCTACATACATTAAATAGTCTCCAGGTGCGAAAAGTTTTGGTTAGAAGGAGGGGCACTTAGTGGAAAGAAGTTGCTTAATCGAGGAGGGTGTTTAGTAAGAATTAAATTATAAACTGTACTTATTTAGCAGTTAAGTTGAAGCTTAAAAAGTCATCAATAAAGTGGTAACAGAATCAGGTTTTCCTTTTATTTAGGAAAGTGGGAGAGAAGCAGAAGTGATAATTCAGCTTGTTTGATATAATGGCCTCGGGGGAGGGCACTTCTTAGAACGTGAGCACTAACATGAGGAAATACAGTAGTTGGTCATAGTATTAGACTGGAAGATGCTCTGGCATACTTGCTGTTTAGTTGAAGAAAATTAACTAGTCTAAGGAAATTATTCACTGACGTTTCTGCTCCAGTTTCTGAAGACAAGAGCTTGGGATGCCTGTGCTCACAGCTGTCATTGAAAACACTCCTTCACAGGAGCTTTTTGTTTACCTAAAGGATCCTGCAAGTAGACAAATATTAGATACCTGCTGCTTGCACTACTCCCTCATCTCCCTGTGTTTGTCCTCTTGTTTCACTTGAAGTGTCTAAAGCTGCATAGAATGAAAACACTGAAGTTATGATCATGACCTTCTTTAAGTACTATCAATGATGATTTTAGGTCAGTGAAAATGAAAGAGGTTTTCTATTGTTAGCATTGAGTGGAAATGGTCATTTCAGAGTACTTGGTATATATTAAGATATATATATTATTATTATTATTATATATATATATATATATATATATTATATAAAGACCGAAACTAGAATATCTTAATCAATTTTAAAGAGCTTTTAATTTTCTTATAATTGTGCAGAAAACTATATAGTTAAGTCGTTGTAGACTCAGTACACAAAATAAAGAAAAAGCTGGCTTTTTTCACCTGTTGGATGACAGTATGAGCAATCAAAATTATCCCTGGGTTCCAGCTGATTAATTAGAATTATGTATAACTAATAAAATTTTAAAAAGGCAATTAATATACATACCTGCTGCTTGAACTTTTTTCTTGTCTCCTTTCGTTTTTTCTCTTGTTTTATTTGAGGTGTCTTGATCTGCAGCGAAAACTGAATTAAGATAGTCATAAATTGCAACGCATACACCTCTTTAATATATAATAGCCCTATGCAGCCATTTTTCTTTTTTTTAAACTGTTTTCATTGTTTTGTACAGTTTATAATTCCTTGGATCATTTCACTGCTACAAAAAATGTTGGATTGGTAGAATATTTGTTCAATAAAATTGAACAAGCTGATGTTGGGTTTCCAAGAAAATGTCGCCTCAAGGAACTATTAAAATCATACATACTGAATGATAACTGCTGTATGTTAACTCAGAATAATTCTTAATTAGTTTTAAACAGCTTCTAGTTTTCATATCATAAAATTCTGCTGGAAGCAGGCAGCTGTTTACTGTTCACAAACCAAAGGAAAAAACTGTTTCCATTTGTGGTCAAAATAATTTAATCATATCCTCATATTGATGAAGAGCATATGTAAATATCCTTACTTAATTGGGTCTACAAAAGGTACAATAACAAGAAAAAATTTTTTTGTGGCATTCTACAAAATGAGTTAAATATATATACCTTCCGCTTGCCCACCTGTCCTTCTTTCTCTTGTTTGTTCTGCTGTTTTATCTGAAGTGTCTGGATCTTATACACAGGACAAAATACAAAAGTAATGCATTTACATATTTGTAAGGCTGAGGATAGGAATAAGAATTTTTCAGTTTAAACATTGACACCTGAACCACCCATAACTGCCCATGCCATGTGGTGGACAAGAAATGATCCAATATTTTCAAGTCTAATAATTTCCGTACCTTTCTGATTATGTTAGACCTTCTAGAACACAAAATGAAAAGTAAAACTGCTATAAAATATTCTGCCTGGAAAATAATAAACATCCAGGTCTTAAAAGCAGTAAAATAAGTTTTTGAGTCAACAACACTATGATTCCCTTAAGATGCAAATTGAGGCTGTAGAGTGAAAACAAAGGACTTCAAGCAAGGCCTAATGACATTCTGAAGATTCTAAGGTTCAGTAAATATTGTGTGTGAGTAAAGAGATGTCAAAAAAGTATTGTTTAATAGAAGATTTTGTGTCAAAACATAGAACATTCAGAATTTTTACCATAGTGCTGCACAACATAACAGAAAATATCAGCAGACTTCTATACAATCCTTCAACAACACTTAAGCATTAAATGTTACAGTAGTATTTTATAACTGCACCCTCTGACTGTCAGAGAACTGTCGTACAGTTCAAACAATATCATGCAGGCTAATTTTTCAGAAAAGAACCAAATGAGGGCATAAAACCTGCAATGTTACATGTTCATTCACCCACCTGGTGCAGACTCACTTTCTTCCCTTGCATCTCTTTTCCCAACTTCTAGGCCGCTGTGTGGAAGATCACCTACATAAAGTGAAGAGAAATATTTATCAGATAAGCTGATACCATTGGCAGCAAACATATTTATTTATTATCTGCCAATCATTTTGAAGCTTCAACAACTTCTCCCTCCTTCTGCGCAACCCACAGGGAAATGCCTTACGTACATAAAACACTAGTCTTTTAAATCAAAGGTATTCGACGGATACACTAAAACAACCATACAGGAACCAGGAATAAATTACAAACACCAATGAAATAAAGAAACAATCAAAACTGTTGATGGTGTGGGTAAGAGGGAAACTAAAATTATCCTAGAAGCTAGAAATATATGACTTGTTGCTTGCTTGCTTGCTTGACTGCTAGTGATATGCGCACAGACACCTCGGTGGTAATATACTGAACTAATTTCGCAATAAGAACATGTTAGCGTAGTGCATAGCCATTGACTCTATGGAGGTCTGTGACCTACATACTGAACAAATTGCTCAATTTTATGGAAATGACTAATATGTATCCTGCTTATACACAGTCCAGACCTCTCAGTTGTCGATGTCTAGATTCAGATCGATAGAGATTAATATTCACTAAAATCTTTGACATGTACACACTAAGAAGTTCTAGAAACAATTTCCTACATTTTGGGAAGTACCTACCTTTAGATGGTATGCTATTACTACAGTTATTGCAATCAAATCTGTGGTTGGTACATTCATTTGTCAGTATACCAAACGCCAATAACTGATGTACTCTGATAATAGATCTCCCTTTACTACCGTCTGATTAGCATTACCACCATAACGAGTTCAAAAGCTAACGTTTCGAATGCCATTTGCTCTGAATAAGCTAACGCTCAAAACGGCAGCTTTTAACGTCAGCTTTTAAACTCTCAACGGTGGCCAATTTACGTTATCAACTTAGTTGATAATACTAAATTATACTCTCCGGTATCCGCCAGTTCCGCCCCATTTCATTTTCGACCCAGTAACTAGTCCCGATTTTGTGCATAGAAGGCTCTTTTTATGCCTCTGGGTGAGCATATTTGATGATTGTAGGCCAAAGTTTGCATTTTACTTCTTGTTATTGACGTTGTATTGTATGCGCAGCCATCTTTCACCGGTGCGTGTAAAGCATGAATTCCAAAGAATGACTGCAGACATTTTATGCATTCAAGTTTTGTTCGCCAACTGTTTTCAATTTTGATTTTCATAGAATAGAAAGGTGCATTTTGCGAGCTTTGTAGAGAGACCTTTGAACGAGGTGCGTGTAAAGCATGTTTGCAAGTCGTGCTTTCCCGAACATTCCCGTAAGCACGTGCCAGATTACGATCGAAATTTACAAAAGAGAAGAGAGAAAACCTTCAGTAAATAAACTTGGACCATTTGGAGAGAAAAAAAATCAAACAATTTTTTTTTGGAACACTCGTCCGACAGAATATGACGCAGAGAGTGCGTGGAAGAAATGGACAAAATTTTAAACCAAGTTCACGGCAAACGCAAACGGCAAATTTCGCCTACTTTTCTTCTTATCCCAAAGACCCAACAGAGAAATACATAAATATCTTCTAATTACAATAAACGTAGATATTTTTACACTATTGCTCTCAAAGCTGAAAGGCAGACGACAAAGTTCAGTTCTTGCAATTTGCCGTTCGCATACGCGAGGCGGTTTCAAATAAAGTACACTATGTTATTGAAAGAAACTTCATGGAATGATACGAAGCTCTAAGCTTATCATGTAGTTAATAGCTGATATGTAGATTTAATACGTCAAAACAAAGTTTGTCTTGACAGCAATGATATGCACGCACCACGGCATCAGTCGTGTGTCCAAGAAGACCTCGATGAATTAATTAAAACACGAAATCTTTCAATTATAAGGTTTAATATCTTAAGAAACCTCATCATTTACTTAAAAATGCTGTTTCAAATCAAGTTTATTGAAAAATGTGCTTGAAAGGAGGTTCTTTGGACGGAGTCTCGGGGTAGCGCTCCCGAGCCAAACAATCAAATTTTAGACAATGAGAGCGAAGTGAGAAATTTCCGCAATACAAAATCTTTTTACTCCAACTATTACCAGCATTAACTGAACACTCAGTTTATGCCATAATGAATACCAGCAGGGAAAGAAGAGTGCCTCGCAACTTCTCAGGTCGTGCTCGTATTTGAATGGACCACGAGCTAATTAATTAAATTTAGATTTTAGATATATGAAAATTCATATATTTGCACTGCGGTGGAGAGATGAAATTAAGAGATTCTCGCAGCTAAGAACACTACTGAAACGAGTAGTTGTAAATAGGACCTGAAAAAATTCAGGCCCGTACGGGATTTGAACCCATGACCTCTGCGATACCGGTGCAGCGCTCTACCAATTGAGCTAACAAGCCAACTGGGAGCTGGTCAATGAATTGGGTCCAAATAAACATCCAAGTGAATGAAGATTTTAGATATATGTAAATTCATATATTTGCACTGAGAAGTAATCCGTGAGCGAGTCACGGCCGCATGAATTCAAACTTGCTTGATTCGAATTTGAATAAAATACATAACAACATGTTAGTTCTACAACACAATCGCTTTAGAGACTCGCCTTCAATCACAAATAATAGTTTTATGTTTTGTTCTCTAATAAAAGCATTATTAAAGCATTATGTATAAGCAAACACAAAAAAACACTAGGCACATCCTTGGCACGTGTACATGAACGTAAAGATAAGTTCGATAAATAGTCTACTTTGCATGAAATATACAAAATTCTTGTCTCTTTCCGTAAATACTATTAAATATAAATTTAAATCTGTTGCATAAAGACAAACGTTAAAGGACATAAAATGTAAGTTAGACATAAAAACACATATATGATGAAGCGGGTCGAACTTGAATTTGACACGGGTCGAAGTTACACGGGGCGAAGATCAAACGTGGCGAATGAAACGGGGCGGAACTGGGGAAATTGTAGTCTCCAACCTCGATGCAACGTGGTTGTTTGTTTTTGTTTTGAACCACCGCTTTGTTTAAATAGCGCCAAACGTCCGGCGGCCGGGCACGGTCTGAAAACAATTAAACGTCCGGCAGCCCGATATTTTTCCATATTTCCCTTCGAAATCCAAGTATTTATATGAAATGTTCTATTTTTATTTACAATCCTCAAGCGCTTCCATGCAGCCCAAAATTTCGAACTTGATACTTTCCGCCAACCCTGTATACAGAGTACAAAGCTATCCAAGCGCTTGACACTTAGGAACTTTTAAAAGACACGGCCGGACACGGTCCTCCAATAACTCCATATTTCTCTACATACCATATATATTTCCTTAGAAAATATTCTACCATCATATACAATCCTCGAGCGCCTCTAGAAAGTGAAAAATTCGAACTTTTTCCGTCTCGCCGACCCTGAACACAGAGTACGAAGAGATCCAAGCGTGACACTTTTTTTTCTTCGGACACTACCAGATATGGTCTTCCAATAACTAAACGTCCGGCAGCCTGATATTTTTCCATATTTCTCCTTGAAAAATACCAATTTCTATTGGAAAGTATTTTATCTTTATTTAGAATCCTCAAGTGTTTCTAGAAAGTGAAAAAAATTTGAACGTTGTCCCTTACGCCGACCCCGCTGTACACAGTGTAAATAGAGATCCAAGCGTAACACTCAAAACATTTTTCATCGGATTCTGCCCGACAAAATTCAAAATACTGTAAAACTGTAAAATGACGAACCGCGAATGGCTTTACCGTAAAACATCTGACTATAAGTCCAGGATGGCTCTTGAGAAAAAGATTTTAGACGGTTTTCAGTAATCTGGGAATTTCGTGTTACAGGAAATTGGGTCACGGCACGCGATGCATAAAGGGTGAAATGTCCCTTTAAGAAACTTATCCCATTTAGTCATTTATCTGAGCACACAGCTCATCTATCTATCTATCTATCTATCTACATCTACTGATCGTAACTACCACATGTAAAAGCGCTTTTCGATTTTGATAGCTAATCGAACTCAAACTGAATGAAATTTGCCGAACTTTCTTTTACCTCAATCGGATTCCAAGTATGTACCATTCTATAACCTCACCTCCTTTGGGATCCGATCTTTTCTTCTCTTTTTTACCCAAATTTTTCAAGCTTTTCAAAGGATTGCTCATTATTATTCTCCCAAAGTTACCACAAATCCGTTTCGTTCTGAACTTCCTGTGTAAAGAATCCCAGCTAGGCAGAAACCGAATTTACTAGGAAACTTTCGAATTCTGGGTATGAAATTTTTCCTTTGGCAGAAACACAACTGCGCCATTAGTTCTAACGAGAATTCCCATTGGATTGAATTCTTGCTTTTCGGCCAACTAGATCAATCGTTACTTCTTCATTCACTTCCTTGTGAATATTGACAGCTTTAAGAAGAGACGGGAACCAAATTTAAGTTATCAGAACTAATCGG